AGTGTGTCGGAGAAACATCTTCACCTTCCTGCTTTATAACGGTACCAGGACCTTAAGTCCATTTCTGATGATCTTGGATTGAGTTCTCTGTCCACTTCTCATACTGAATTTCTCCTTCATTTCCTCTAAGATGATCTTCAATTTCTTTTCTTCGGGTGTTCCTAAGTATTTTTGGTTGATGTGAATGTAACAGTGCCATTTGGCTGATTCAAAGCCCCAGTGGCAAGTGCGCTTGTCAGGTGATCTGTGTGAGTGCATCACAAACGTCTGAGGTGCAAACATTCCACAGCATTCCAGACACTGAATACAGGGAGCATCGGGCTGAACGTAAAACTGGGGTGCAAACAGACCCTGACATTTGCCCAAGCATTCATGTTCCACTTCAAAGGCACTGCCAGTTTCCTTTAACTGGGCCAATGAGGTTTTAACAGGAAGCATGCTACCACTTTGAGGGAAAGTACGAGGTCATAATAATGCATTACATGGTCTCTGTGCATCATTTAACTTGATCAGCCCACACGATGGTGCATTGAAGGGGAGTATTCCCAGGACCTTTAAGATATGAAGCTGCTCTGAAGTACACCTTGAACAGTATATGTACAGTTCATCACAGACTGTGTTTATTTGCTGGAGGGAAAACTCTCGGAGCACAGAATGTAAGACCTGGGGCAGACAGTCGCTTTTCTCCTCCAACCTGAAAACAAGAAATAGATTCCCTCTCCAACAGAATCTGGGTGAGTTCAGTGGAACTATCAGAAGGGGTGAGCAGTGGGCCAGGAAGAACTTCAGGAGACGGTAGAGGGAGAAACACAGTAGGTGACATACTTCCTTGGGAATACCGAGCAGAAAATGCCACAGGTCCTCCTAACAAACTCTGACTACTTAAATGGAATTGTGCCAATGTGTGTTTCAAACTGGGATTTAAACTTAAAGGCTCAGGCCCAGAGGCACAAGTTTTCTTGACATGGTCCTCATCCATTCCCACTGGTGCCCCTCCATAACCATCCAAAAATGCTCCTTCTTGACCGCTGACACCTTATTCAGCAGCATTTTTCCATGTGCATGACTGTCTGTCATCATTTTTTTTCACCGGAGGGCTGTCATCGTCTTCCATCTCCTTCAGTTTTTTGCCTGAATTTCGAACCAAGGAGAAACTGGCCTGCAAGTTTTCCATTGTTCAGTTACTGCTTTAGAAAATTAAGTCTGAGATTTGCATTTTTATTTAGCTGCTTCTTTGATTGGGGGGGGAGGATATCAATACTTATGGTAAATTAATCTTCAAGAAAGCTGCAAATTTCCAGAGATAGGGCAACTTTGCTTTTCTTTGTGTAACTCCAGTAAGACGACAGCTCATAAGAAACACAACAATAAGGAAGTCTGTGTGCTTGCCCAAATTCTTTAGCTGTTTTAAAAATAAGTTACCAATTCTCTCAATTTACGATGTCCAGATGCAGTTCAATTTTTCTTAAGCCAAACACGTGGTTGTTGTT